GATGGACCTCCCAGATGGCAGCCTGCAGAAAGTGCAGCCAGACATGCAGCAACACATCCAAGAGAAGTACCTGAGTGCCCGGGGGCAGCTCTGGCTCCATGTTGCAGAGTGTTGTGGTGTCCCAAGTGAGGGCAAGCAGAGCACGCAGAGACAAAATGCTTTGCTGTCCCTCATCGAGGTAGACAAGCAAGCAGGGAAACCTGAGAACCGGCTGTCCTGGGGAAGGGGTCCCTTTAAGCACCGGCCTCAGATATCCTCAGGCAGCAGCCACACAAAGACACTCCTGTCCTGATGCCCTGCCGGACCTGGTTCTGGCCAGCCTTAAATGCGATTTAGCATCCACTTGGTATGGACGCGCTATTTCGAAATAACAAAATGCTATTTTGAAATGCATTTTGTGTAGACGCGTTATTTTGGAATAAGCTATTTCAAAATAGCTTATTTTTAAATAAGGCATCCAGTTTTTCAAGGTTTCTTCAGAGAGGGCTAAAGAGTTTGGGGGGTGAGGGGTTACCCCACAAGATGAAATTCCCCAGTGTGTCTTCCTAGGTTCTTAAAGTTTCTGCATTTGGATGGTGGCAGTGTGGAACTGTATGATGTAGGAGTTTTTAAGACGCCTTTAGTGGCAAGGTATTTTCAAGTCCCCCCCGCCCCACCTTCTGCACTTGAAGTGTCAGAGTGGGGAACAGCCTTGACACATGTAAATATTACCCATTAAGCAGTTTATGAACAGTTAACCACAAACTTTAAAGAAACATTTAGACAGTGACATGACACCCAAATTTCATCTAAATATCAGTATTTTTTTATGGTTTCTGAATTAACAGAATACAGTCATAGACAGGAACTATTTGGTTAACTATTGTTAACTTCTAACAAGATATAGATAAACACTAGGGATGACAATGTGTCAACAACACCCATTCCTCTCTTTAGCTGCCTCTATATCAGAGGCAGCAATGGGGGGAAGGAGCAGAAGCCGGTGCTGTGGGAGTTGTCTTAAAAGCTGATTTTTTTTCTCCCCCCTATTACAGTCATAGACAGGAACTATTTGGTTAACTATTGTTAACTTCTAACAAGATATAGATAAACACTAGGGATGACAATGTGTCAACAACACCCATTCCTCTCTTTAGCTGCCTCTATATCAGAGGCAGCAATGGGGGGAAGGAGCAGAAGCCGGTGCTGTGGGAGTTGTCTTAAAAGCTGATTTTTTTTCTCCCCCCTATTATTGGCTCCACAGTGTCCCCAGGCAGACTGGCTGCCACCTGCTGCCCCATGCTGCTGGCACAGTAGTATGGGGCGGCAGCAGCGCCTGTCTGCAGGGGGCATGAGCTCCTCATGGAGAGAGGCTGCACTGGCCTCCCATGGAGCAGCCTCTGTCCACCGCGAGCCTGGATCCACTGCGGGCAAAGGCTGCTTCATGGTAGCAGCCCCTGTCCGCTGGGGGCAGCCTCTGTCCCTGGGAAGCTCGGACCCCCCCATGGACAGCTTCTGCTGCAACCCTGCATGCCTGCCTCTGTATCTTTCTTTTTTTAAATATAGGTTCCCCTGGCCACCCTGCTCTGCTGCCTTTGATACAGAAGCTGCAGTGCCGGGTGGCAAGGGACTCCCCAGGAGTGCGGCTGGGAGTGCACTGGGTGCCAGCCCCGCCTCTGAGCACTATCGAATAGTTGTGTAACCACAAGGATTTCATGCAGTTCAGTTACCTGAAATCTACAATAAAGTGCGTATTAACTCTGCCCTGAAGCATTGTTTTGATGATGACTGCGATATGTTGAGCGATTAACATTTCTTCCTGAATGACACCTGGTTTACTTGGAAATTTCTTGTTTATGTACTGACTGTGTCTTGGACGAAGATGAATAATATCTTAGAACAACCTTCCTTGTAAATAAATTAAGAAAATCCACTGTAGTTTTTAAAGGGTATTTCTCTTGTGCAGAAGATGAATGTCTGGCAGTTGCATGGCATGTTACTAAATCTATTTATGTTGAAGGTCATATGTCATCTTCAATAAAGGATAAAATTTGAAAATATCTAATGACTGTGGTATCGTGGATTGATTTTACTATTGATTCTTAGAGTACCGTGCAAGCTCTTATTGAACAATTTTTACCAGAAACTTTCCCACTTTAATGCCATGTGCTGCATTTCTGTGCATTATTTACATTAATGGCACTTGGGTTGGGTGTAAGGGATTTTGCTCATGTATTTATTTATCTTAAGAGTAATTGAAAAATCTGAGGTGTATTGTAAATGGATACTTAATGTATTGCTGTCATTTATTTGGGTCTTTGTTGAAAATGAGAAGGAAGAAGCCAAATGAAATGTGATGGGTCACTTGATATTTTTAACTAAACACATAGAATGTATGTCATGAAATTAGTTATCGATATTCTTTCAAAACTTCCTCTTTTCCTGGAGTTTATAATCTCTAATATAACATGTTTTAAACCTTAGGATTTTCTGTCTTGTATATTTCTCTGAATTGCTATATCAAATTAAAATGAGAATATTTTCTATGTATAGATTCGTCTTTTTTTTTAAAAATCCTTTTTCGTGAATCTATGGCACATCCTGATGGACTTAATTCCTTTTCTTTTTCTTGTTGTAAAAAATAGAATGAGGTAACTTTAATGTTTGAAAAATTTGTCTTGTGCTTTTAGCTCAAAACAATAACTTTTTAAATTACTTTTAGTTTTGATATTTCTATTTATAAAAATTTCATTTATTTAATTTTGATTTTCTTTTGATTTTTGAAATGGCTTCATATTAACTAAGAAAATGCAGTATATATGATTTGTTTGCTCCAAATGACCACTTGCTTAATAGGATATTAACAGCTTGTTAACTAACTCTGTTTTTTACCCCTGTCTTTAACATGCATTTGTGACTGCATACAAAGAATGTAATTAGTGTTCTAGCATTGGCCCGACCTGTAATGTAAAATCCTCAAAGATTTATAAATGCAAAGATTATAGACAAATATTTAAAACAACTTTCAGTTAATCTTAATGTTGAGATACACAAATAAGACAATGAAGAATTCAATAAAAGTGCTGAAGTCAGACTCTCCACTTCATGCTACTATCACTTATTATTTTAAGGGCATTTTTATTGTAGGCTAACTTGATTACATTTTCATCTGAAAAACTTGCTACTGGGGAAACTCTGGTCTTCAAGTGGCCAAACGACAATTCGAAAAAAAAATTTTGTAGGCTAACTTGATTACATTTTCATATGAAAAACTTGCTACTGGGGAAATTCTGGTCTTCAAGTGGCCAAACGACAACTCGAAAATAAAAATATAAATACAGCGCAATCCAAATATACGGAAGATTTAACTTCAAATTTATCCGAAAATACCACAGAAATGTAAACAAAAGGCTTGTCTTCTAGCATAATCACTTATTTTCTGTTCTTGGCTCAAAATCACTTTAGGATATCACATGTTCTGTTTTGCAGTGGCTAGCACAACAGGACAATTGGGAATGAGTTGAAGTAGTCTTAACTGTATCTGTGAATTGCCTTGCTTTTCATTTATTCTATGGTGTAATTTTACATTTAGAAGTTGTTCTTCATTAGTGAGTAAAGAAGTGAATTTACCATAATTTACCTTCAAGTTTCACTCATGCTGATATTTAAATATGCATATTTAATATTTTTTTAAAAATACACTGTATGTATTTGTCCATGCTAGTCAAATAGTTTGCCTTCCATGGCTCAGAAATACATTGGAATCAAAATACACTTGTCCATAGCCTGGACACATGAGTAGGGACAGAGGAGGAAAGTAGGTCTGTTATTTGATTGAAGAAAAGGCTGAAGTGGTAGTGAAATTATATCATCAGCTGGGATATAAAGATGAAAATTTCACCCACCTGTAATGAAATTTATCAGAATTTGGAACATGGAATATATTTCATTTTTGTTTAAGGATAAACACTTTAAAAAATTATGGATCAGTCTTGCCATGAAGGCTTATCCTTAAACCAACAAAGTCTGAAAGGTTTCCTGCCTGGTGCTGATCATAGTTAAGAATGTAATCTGTTTTTGTGGCTCCCTTCCCCTCACCTTGTTCACATTTTTTCAAAGGTAAAATCACATGCATTTAAAAACTAAGATGTAAAGTATTCAGGCTGCACATACAGGGTTGGGGTACCACCTGCCTACCTTGTAGCCTCAGCCCACTCTAGCTGTGGCTTCTCTTGCCTGGCACAGCTAGCCATCCACTGGAGTTTGGGCAAGGTCTGCCTAACTGGTTAGCCAGTAAGTATTCCGGTAAACCTATGATTAGCTGTTAACCTTCTTTATCCCCATCACATTATTTTATTTTATTGTCCTTTTAGTTCCCATCCCTTTATTTTCCCCTATTTCTTTCTTCACATTTGTTTTTTGCCTTTTTGGGATCTTTGCTTGGGTTCTGAGTCTATGGATACATCTAAACTACACCCCTCTTTCGAAAGAGGGATGTAAATCAGACATATTGAAATTCAAATCCTGGCTTCATTTGCAGTTTTTTATGCTTCATTTCCATAATCGCAAGTGAAACCGCGAAATTTCGAAAGTGAAACCGAGGTCTAGACGCAGTTCTTTCTAAAACAAAAGCCCTTTTCGAAAGATCCTGTAAATCTCATTTTTTGAGGAGTACAGGATCTTTCGAAAAGGGCTTTTGTTTTAGAAAGAACTGCGTCTAGACCTCGGTTTCACTTTCGAAATTTCGCGGTTTCACTTGCGATTATGGAAATGAAGCATAAAAAGCTGCAAATGAAGCCAGGATTTGAATTTCAATATGTCTAATTTACATCCCTCTTTCAAAAGATGGATGTAGTGTAGACATAATCTCTGTTGTAAGTTTGTCAAAGAAAAGACCCTGCTTTTGCTTACTTCCATGAAGTCCATAACATAGTTCTAGATGCTCAAGATTAATTTTGTATCTACCTAATTTGTTTTTAAAGTATTGCAAAGATTCATTTGTTCTTTTTGTTCTTTCTTAGATCTCTGCACGTTGCATTGTGATTTTAATTTCTCATCCTATGGATCACTGAATGAGTAACAGATGGCTTTACCTCGTCTTACGGGAGCTTTACGCTCTTTTTCAAATGTCACTAAACAAGATGAATATAGTGAAGAATCGGGTGATGTAATGGTAAAAATATTAAGTTTATTTTTTTGTTGTATGTTGCAAGAATCTATTAGTTTTGTTTCCTTAAAGTAAACTGCTTTTTTGATAATGGCAAGATCAGGAAGACTATTTAAATATAAACCCCCAGTGCATTTCCTGCTTGGTGCAAGGCCCGATCTTTTGTTTTGCACCTATGACTCCTGCGTGGGGCAGGTTGGCTTCATAAAAGGGCTTTGTAACTCTACCATTTTGTGAAGTTGCCATCTATGCTGGCCCATATAGTTTGGGGACCACTGAGATATGCAGATCCTGTAAACCCTTTCACCTCTGCCTCTAGTTGACTTACACGTGCTATTGGATGCATAGATGGCTTTTGTTCTTTTATGCTGCTATGGTGTGCTGTCTATGAAGTCTGATTATATAGAGTATGGGATCCTGCATATAAATGTGGCAAAGGTGTATGCCATGCCTTAACTAGCCAATTGTTTTTTCACATTGGTAACAATAATATTTGGAAATAGCACAAATAGGAAATTAACTGCAAAATAAAATAATTGCTATATATAATTAACAAAAATGAGCAAACTTTTGGGGCTTGATTGCTGAAGAGTAATTGTCTTTCATTACTTCATTGAAGTATAATCTATTTTTGAAATGCCTTTGTAAGTTTGTTTTTTCCCATAGGGATTTTTCCTCATCACTAATATTTTTGCAGATTTAATCAAGCAAGGGTGGTGATTCTGGAAAATATTTCCTTCTCCCACTAGTAATTGGAAACAGAACACTTAGCTGTAATAAAAGTGGGTTGTTAATTCTTACATTTTGCAGAGATAATTATACTCTTTCTTCACACACATTTAAAAAGCTAAATATGCTCATTGGTTAAGATTAAACAGAGATGATTTCTCAGAGCAATAGAATATAGGTTGTCGTTCCTTCCACTTTGGCCTTTTTAAAAGTTGTAGTGCTGTCTCTTAAACCTCCTTGGAGTATGCCCTTGTTAAATTTTCTCACCTGAGCAATTGGACAACCTCAGAATGACTGGCTAAACTTTCTGGCCTCCTAGGAGATGCATCAGCCTTTCAAAGCAGAAAATTGTGTAGTTGCTATTGTGTCTTTTGTACCATCATTCTTTTACTACTAAAATAAAAGTTTAATCAGTGACTATTATAACCATTTAAAAAATCTGAGCAAGACGATAGTGGCCAGCATATTTGTTTTCTTGAAAGGCAACTTAAAGCCTTGTATTTGTTAAATAAAAATCTTAATCATAGTTTTGCCATCCTGAAAGATGAATTTCTACTTGCAACATTTTTGTGCAGCCCTTTATGACAAACCCCAAAGCATATATGCCTCATTAAACAATTTTGTGGGGGGATGAGAGACTGGCTTATTAATCTGCTTACTGAATGTTAGAGGAGAAATTGATGCTAGAGGTTGGTGGAAATACCAGTTTTCACTTCAAATGTTAGTAACAATGTCTGAAAATGTTAGTGAAGGAATAGAATCTGGACATCATATGTGAAGCAAGCAGAAGTTTATTACACACAGCGCTGGGTGGAGTGTCACGTCACTTGTTTGAGCTCAGTGAACACCTGCCAAACAATAGGTTACAACTAATTATATAGGATGCTCAATGGGCAGATCAGAGTGTTGGAAGGGGGAAGATCCTGGATAGATGCTAATAGTAAGGCAAGGTAAGAGCAATAATATAAAGTTACATAGTGTTTCCAGTAAAACAAGTATTTAAGCAAAGCAGACATCAATTCAGTCAAGTGGTGATATGTCTGTCAGCTTCAAGAAGCAAAAGACAGGACTATGTAGCACTTTAAAGACTAACAAGATGGTTTATTAGGTGATGAACTTTGAAGTGGGTCTGGACCACTAAAGCTCATCACCTAATAAACCATCTTGTTAGTCTTTAAAGTGCTACATAGTCCTGTCTTTTGTTTTAGCTACACCAGACTAACATGGCTGCATCTCTGTCACTCAGCTTCAAGAAGGTATCTCTGCAGGATGTGGTCCATCTGGGGATTAAAGCAGAGACATTAGGAGTACTTAACAGTTTCCTAGCACCATTGCATGTGTCATGTCCTGTCTTCTGGGCTACGTATGTATGTATGGGGTAGCCATTAAGTACTGTGTGTGTGCTAGTCCCAGACTCCAATTTAGAATAGAATAGATGTTCTTAACAAAATATCATAGTCTGCCTCAGAAATTTTCATCCTACAGTCCCTCCTCTTAACCTTAGGGTTCATAAACCCGCCAGGTTAAATACAATAATTTAATGTTTTAGCTTACTCTGGAACCGTCGGTAGAACACCGGTACCAGTAGGAATGTTATAATCGATACACCCACATAATTTGGCAAAACACCCAAATACATTCCCAGGGTATCTCATTCCCTGAGATGGTGCTGCCCATGATCATAGCTTTAACCTCCACTGCCTGGTTCAGGGCCTTTGGGTACTTGGCATTAGCTTGGTTCACGGTTTCCCCTATCTGAGTGTACCTCTGTTGGCCTTTCTGAATGCATCTCTGGGCTTCGGCTACCAACTCCTTGATTTCTGCCTGCAAGATCAATAGACCCTCCTCTCACTACTTACTGCCGTAGTGCCACCCTGGATCCCTTGCTAGGTTACCCGTCATTGGCGGAATATGATACAGCCGCGTTCCATCGATGGTCAGGGTTGCTAATCGAGGGACCATTATGCACACAGATAGGTGTATTGAGGGGCAGGGCATTCCATTTAACTCAATGGAGTGGTTTTGGGCAGTCACACACCAGTAGGTACCGTTCATTTGGACCAGCTCTGTATGCATTAATTTCTCAGTTATGGTCTCCTTGAACCTAGACTGATTCGTTAAAACATTATATGGACATGTACATAGAATTTCCTTGTTGGAGTGGGTGCAATGTTCACTGGATTACAAAGTGCCACCAGAGATCTTCAAATATGCCATACCCTCTATTAGTGATTAGGCCCTTCCTCTTCACAGGCAGGGAGGCTACCATTCTAGCCCATTGTATATGAGGGATGCCCAATGGTGCTCGAAGGTTAAAGACTATGCTATAGCCTGTTCATATTGGCCTTTGAATACTCATGGATTCTCTGTTTCCCCATTCCCACGGAGGGGTGTTGGGGTCTTACTGCTTCCATGAGAGACTATGCTATGGCCTGTTCATATTGGCTTTTGAATACTCATGGAATCTTTGTTTCCCCATTCCCACGGATGGGTGTTGGGGTCTTACCACTTCCATAAGGGCTGGGTGGACTTGGCCATTCAAGAAGTCTGTTACAATAACTTGTGCGGTGATAGCTGGAGCTTGCCCCATCCTTTAACATTTATCTTCCAGCTCCTTTATTTGGTACCATTTATCAATAATCTGATTAATTTCTGGTTTGATTAATTTCTGGTCCAAGTACTTGGTTACGTCTAGCAAGGTGGACACAGAGCTTGATAAATCTTTTAGGTTGTTTAAGATTAACCCATCAGCCTTGCTAGTATCCAGTTCTCCACGGGCATTTGATATTACTACATTTTCTATTCTTCATTCAATATGGTTGTGTTTCTCTGCCTGATATGCTAGGGCATAGGAGTGGCTGACTGAGTTACCAGCACCAAACCACCCCGTAATGTTATCAACTAATTCCTGCCACTGGTGAGTGAGGCAGTGTTCAATTTAGTTTGTTAGGCTGGTAATCTTTCCCATATGGGACCCCACCCATTCACATTGCTTATTTACCCCCTTCGGACGGGGTGTGCACTTTGACCCAGTAGGTGTAAAACATTACCGAGGTGAGGACCGGAAGCATTGCTTAAAAATGTCTTTTATTGAGGATGGGGAATCCCGTGCAATTACATAATTCTCTCCAGGTATTCTTGAGGCTTTCTAGGCTTTGGGCACCTGGCACCAGTGGGAGATGGGCAGTCGGCTGTTATTACAATGGTGAGGTTACTCATTTCCCCATTGTTGTGGGCATCGGTGTATGGATTTACTCAAATTTTCTGATGTCCTGCTTGCCTGTGCTTCATTTTCATATTTATTGTTACCTCTGGCCAACCCCTTCATGGTTAGTGTGTAAATTCTGCAAAGGCTAAATATTTCCTTAGTGTGGCAAATAAAGCAAAGCAAACCTGGTGGAAGGGGATTGGTAACCCTCTCCCAGTCCTTTGCATGGCACATTCCTTGCTCCCTTCGTCAGGCTTCATAGGAGAAGCAGGAGCTGCAACAGGAATGGTTACCTTCCAGTTTATTTTTGTTCACCTGTGGAGACATTGTTAGCATTTACCTACCTTAAACAATTACTACAGTAAACTATTGTCCTTTCACTAAGTTTTCCTATAACTGCTGTTTGATTTGGCCCAATCCTTTTTCTTTCCCTTTCTCTTGCTGAACAGTTTCCTTTTTCTAGCTCATGCTACTGCTTTACTTAGAATGGTCTTTCATTTAAAAGACAATACACAACAACAATATTGGCAATACAGAGAAAACAATCTTAGAACACAAAACACACGTATGTCATGACAGTGGAACCATGTTTTTTTCTTCAGCTGCTTTTCAGCTGACACCAGTGCTTTCTGAGGTTCTGAAAGATAAAAGAACATTTTCTTACCCCACGCGGGTGGCACATTATATCTCTTGTCCTATTTACTTTTACAAGTATTTTGTTGAATTTTTTTTAATTAGCCTGCTGTTACCCAAAAATTACTTATGCTTTTATTGGAAACCAGCTTCTGAGGGATTGGGTATATTACTTCCCTGCTCAATGATTAAGTTAAAGGAGGTTTTTAGTCTGTCTGTTGTGAAGCTTCACATTTATTTACAGGTAGTAACTGTATATACTGCTATAGTGATTTTTCCTTAGCACAAGGTGTTTACCAGTTACCATTCCAGGAAGCCTAAATGGCTTTCTCTTTCTCAGAGAGTATCTTGTGCAGCATTAGTACTAAATTTATTTCCATGTTAACAATAACATTAATATTAGATTTCTTTCAATTAGGGGCTTATGAATATTTTGCTATATATTCCATATCTTTTATTTGGCCAGTTTACTGCAGGACAGTGTGTTATTATCCTCTTGGAAATTTTGAATAACAGGCCCTTTTTATCATTTTAGTATTATTTATAGAAGATTCAAACTGTTTATTAACAGCCAGGCATTCACACACACTTGCCTTCAGATTCAAAGTTAGGAGCAGCCCAAAGAAAGAAAGACAGCGAAATTTCAGAGTTCTGCTTTTAAAGCACACAGCAAGAACACATACCTATTGTAGCTTTTTTTTGAAGTGTATGAGGTGTTTTATGTAAAATAAACAATTTTTCTTAGAACCACCTCAAGGGTTAAATGCCCCAAGACAAGCATTTGTGTCTGGTACAATGTGTCTTATCAATTTGCAATTTTAGGTGATAGGGCATTATCCAAGACAAAATAAAACTAATTCATTTGAAACCTACCAAACAGATTTGCAATGCATTCTCTGTCATGCATTTGACTAATTAAGTTTAATAGAATCCCTTAATTTCCATTTAGCAAATTTTCCCAAAGAAACAAGAAGGTTTTTTCTTTTCTTTTATAACAGGTTTTCTTTAATACAGTAGGACAATTGCTTAATTTCTCCAGCACTCCACAGAATCAACTCCTCACCTCCTCGTACCTTCAGTCACTTGCTTTCTTCCTCAAATGAAAACTATCCTCATTCCCAGTAATTTAACTTTCCAACGCCTGTATTAGTGTTTTCCTTATTCTTCTACTATACCCACACAGGGCCCAAGCCTCTTATCTCCCCTCTCTTTCACATGCTTATTTCCTTTCAATTGTCTATGTACCTTAGCCTGCTTTTCTGCTGAATAGTTCTTTTTCAGGGACACAGGTTTTGTCCATTATTAGTTTAATAAGAAGGGTGGGCTTTTTAACTAGCCCCCATATCTTCTGGTTCCTTTCACTGGGTAAATCCAAATGTTTATTTCTACAGTCAGCTAATAATAAACTTATTAGTACAGGTTTTTCGTAAGTCAGACAACAGTAGTATTTTATTTGATTGAAATTAAGGGTTTGGAAACCAATACATATTTCATCAATTTGCTTAAAAGGTCTGCATGGTATTGTCAGACCATGGGCTGTGCTTAAACTCTTGCAATATTTGTTTCAAATATATAGTATACCTTTTTTCTTTTCTTTTTCATGAGGGGTTTTTCCTGAATTTTGCACCAATGTGCCCAATTTGTTTTTACTAGCAATTTTTAGTATTATATGTTATATATTTTAAGACCCTTAAAGGATCTTGAAGGAAAGGAAGAATGGGGCACTAATTTTAGTTCCCTTTTGGCTTGCCCCTCGTATGATTGTGGTTGCAATGCAATGAACCCCATTTTATCTTTAAACTTGCCAGGGCCACCTTTGTCTATTTCTGTCCCCACTCTTTAGGCATTGTAAAAGTGCTTGCAGTTTGTTGTTTAACAACAGGGGACATTGCTTTATTTTTTCCAGGTTTTTAACAACCTTTCCAATCTCTCATTTTCCTGATTTTACTTGTATGAGTAAACCATATATCTGGATAGCCTTGCTTTTACTGTTGTTCTAATTATTATTATTATTATTATTATTATCATATTTTTCTGCTCTTTTAATTTGAGGACCTCCAGCATCACTATTACTGCTTTGTCTATTTTATTGCCTTCCTGATTATTTCACCATTTGACCACCTCTTCCTTTGCTCCAGCTGTGGCATACTTTGTTTTTAAAATTGATGCCTGCTGGGGTTTGTGAACTTGTACTCCAAAATATTCCTTTTTGGGTCGGCTTTCACCTTCCCCTTGTGCGTCAGGGTTCAATAACCCTGACTGCTGACCATATGGTCTCAATCTCCACTTAGGTCAGCCTTATGGGGATGTGCATCTCCCCCTTGGATCTCATGTTCTCAAGTCCCACGGATCAGTTGTCAGCCCTTTTGGGGAATGTGTATCTCTCCCTTCTGTATACAGCTTCTCCCTATCCCTCTACCTCTCCCTCCAGTCTTATTGGGGATGTGCGTCTTCCCCCTTTACCACTGTGGTCTTATACCCTTGCCAGCCTATTTGGGACTTGTATTATTCAAGGTTATATACGTCATGTGCCTGATGTGGGGCTTCCATCAAGACTTGCAATGTCACGTACAATGAGGAATTGGGACCACCAGTTTGCACTGCCTGCCACCTTGCGTACCCATCCAATCCTGGGCTTAACATATGGCTCAATTTCTCCTTGGTGGTTTGTCCAGTGCCTCCGTAACATACCCCTTAGCTTAAACAGTACACAGCCCTCTTTTGGGTACCCTTTAAGTCTGACCCTTATGCTTGATTCACACATCCAGGTTTCTCTCTGTCTTAAATTTGGAACAGAACCAGGATGTGTCTGAGGGGAAAGAGAGACTTCCATCCCTAGCCTAATGAGGTGGTAAAATAAACATACTCACCCCTCTTGGATGTCAGTCTCTGGCCCCATTCAGCTCACAAGTCTGGATCCTGGACTATTGTAATCTGGCTGCAAATGTCTGGAAACAAGTTTGGGTGAAAAAACGCATGGAATTCTGTCAACTATAACAAGTAGATTAGAAGTGTGGGAAGCAAGAGGCAAAGCAGAGTAGAACAAAGCAATACTAACTTCGAAGGATTGATAATAGTAATGTGGAAAAACAGCATCTGTATGCCTGTGGCTTGATGACAAAGTATAGAACTCAAAACAAACACACTGTTTGGTGGTTGGATATCTTGAAATATATATGTTTACCAAAATCTAACACTCTTCTATTACCAGAGAACACAGCTGTGTCTTATCCTTGATGAACTAAATAACTTGTTCTCTTAACTGTACAATAAGTTTGTTGGGTTTGTAATAGTTCTTAAATCACTGAAGTTAAGATGGATGAAATCTTAATTTATTTAAACTGGTGAGCTGTCCAGAAGGGGAGACTAGTCTGGTTCCAGTGGCTGATAGGTTTGTCTACAGTGCTCCAAGTTAGTTTAAGACTGAAAGTTAGAATCTGTGGATTTTGCTACTTGAGCACAGGTAAATTTTTCTTTTTTAGGTTTGTACAGAGAACAATGAGGTATTAATTTTGACTGGACCCCTTGAGAGTTTCTGCACTACAAATAGTAAATAATTAAGATCAAGGCAAGGCTGATTGTTGAAAAAATGTACGGTAATAGCTACAAAGGCAACTGAAACTTAAGACAATCCTTATGAACAACCAAAGGAGTAAGACTTGCTAACAGTATTTCAGATCAAAAACTTCTAAAATGAAAGGCAAAGGAGCAAGAAGCAAAGTAGAGCAAAGCAATACTAACTTAGGGTATGTCTACACTACCCCGCTAGTTCGAACTAGCGGGGTAATGTAGGCATACCGCACTTGCAAAGGAAGCCCGGGATTTGAATTGCCCGGGCTTCATTTGCATAAGCCGGCCGGCGCCATTTTTAAATGCCGGCTTGTTCGAACCCCGCGCCGCTACACGCGGCACGGGCTAGATAGTTCGAACTAGTAAGCCATTCCGAACTATCTGTACACCTCGTTCCACGAGGCGTACAGATAGTTCGGAATGGCTTGCTAGTCCGCACTATCTAGCCCATGCCGCGTGTAGCCGCGCGGCACAGGGTTCGAACAAGCCGGCATTTAAAAATGGCGCCAGCCGGCTTATGCAAATGAAGCCCGGGCAATTCAAATCCCGGGCTTCCTTTGCAAGTGCGGTATGCCTACATTACCCCGCTAGTTCGAACTAGCGGGGTAGTGTAGACATACCCTTAGAAGATTGGTAATAGTAATGTGGAAAAACAGCATCTGTATGCCTGTATGTAAGGCAAAGGTGCTTCAAAAGAAATGTATATTAGTGAAAAACATCTATTGCTTAGCCATTCTGATTGTTGTGTTTATGGCACAGGAATCCATTATGAGCTGTAGCAACTGAAAGTCATTTTTTTCTAATAAGGTGACTTGGCTTATCCTCATAACCATCCAGATTGCTAGATGAAAAGAGCTGTAAAAGTGCAAAGTGTTTTTATCACTAATGCTGAAAAGCCTAATTTGTGAGGGAAGAACGCTTTGGCCTTTGATGGCAGCGTGAATTGTTCTCAGTGTGAACCCACACATTACCTTTTAATATAAAACTGTTCCCAGGAGGTTGTTGTGTCCAGAGTGTGTCCTTTTACAACAGCTATCTGTGTGTGCATAGTGCTTCAATATATACTCCAAAATATATAGTCCTCTCTAAACTGGGACTCTCTGGTCTGGCAACATACATGGTCTGCTTCACGGGGCAGGGATCCCAGCATACCCCAGTAGGGGGGCCGGGAAGCCTGGTGGGGCTGGCAGGTCAGTGGGGTTGATGGCAGGGTCTGGCCGGCAGCTGGGCGAGGGCTAGTAAGGGCCCGGTAGTAGGAGTGCCAGAAATTAACTCCCCTGATCTGGCATAATCTCTCATCTGGGATAGGTCAGGTCCCGAGGTTGCTGGACCAGGGAGGTCCTACCTATATAAAGAAAGTAAATATCTTTTTGTTTTTACCAATTGCATGATAATTCTGAACAAAATGCACAGTTCTGTCATTTATTCTTTGATCCATCTATTCTTATTTCAGAATAAAAGGTCAAAATTACAAAAACAGTTAATGAGCTCTGAGCTTACATGGAAGAAGATAGTAGAATTTATTGAAGACAGTTTGGACAAGAAGGAACAGCAATCAATAAATGGAGATTTAAAAACTATATTACAGGCTGCAAAACAAATAGGTAAGTCTTAATTTGTTAGTAATCTAGTAGTATCAGCCTGCAAACCCAAATTACATTTGGTTTATACATTTTGTACTGTTCTTTCCTGAGAGAGACCCTGGAAACTCAAGTCAATCTGCTTGAGAAGGTTGGAGCTGGTCCCCAGGTAGTCTTTTAAATTTGACTTAATTTTCTTTTCTGGAATTGTTGCTACACATATTGTTATGAATATTGTCTTGTGCTGCTTTTTAATCAACTCCCAATAATTAAAAGGTGTTACAACTACTTTTGGCACCTCAACAAGTGAAGAAGGGAAGGAATAAGTTCAGTGGTATCAATATCAGTTCAGAAGTCACTGCCATATTAAAGAATGGACTTTTAAATAACGTTATCATTCTGAAATTAGGCATTTAGGAAACAAGAGACAGAGAAGAAGTGTCTGAATTTTTAGGCTCCCTTCCCACTTCTTTTTCCAGTGTAAGGGACAGTGTGGAGTGTTGTGTTTTTTGTTTTTTTTTTAAAAGGTCGGGAGGGAATTTCCCAGTCTTTGAAAATGAGAATATTTTCAAAACTTGAGTATATTTAAGAAGCAAAACTTCATCAGACAAAATGTGTGTGGGGGACAGGGAGATTTGGTTTTGACAAAATCCTCTTTTTAAAAAAAAAAAACTTTTTTGTTGAAAAAATTCCAGTTAGCATTATTAGTGAGGTTGAGCCTGTGTCTCTACTCCTTGGTCAAGGAGATGTGAGGTAGGTAGGGGGTATTCGCCATTCTTGTTTAATTGTTGCTTGGCTAAGAATGATCTTCCTGAGTTTGGTAGTGGTAAGCTTATATTCTTTCCTGGTTACTGTTTCGGAAATTTCAAACAGCAGACACAAGGTAAATATCGCTCGTGGGAATTAAGCCATGTAAACCAGTTTTGTAGATATGGCAACCCATTAGCTTGGTGGTCCAATGGAATGTGCACATGACTGCCTGAATGACATGTGCAGAAAAAACTGCTCGCTGGCTCTGAAAATACTTGAAATGCGGAGCATTTAATGTTTCTATGAAGCCGATAGCCTTAACCAATAAGCATCCCTCTACCAGTTAATTGTTTAACCAGCTACACTGTTGCAACCCTAGTGATGGCAACCCATTAGCTTGGTGGTCCAATGGAATGTGCACATGACTGCCTGAATGACATGTGCAGAAAAAACTGCTCGCTGGCTCTGAAAATACTTGAAATGCGGAGCATTTAATGTTTCTATGAAGCCGATAGCCTTAACCAATAAGCATCCCTCTACCAGTTAATTGTTTAACCAGCTACACTGTTGCAACCCTAGTGGCTATCCTTTCCTTAAGCTAACATATACTGACGGACAGTTAAATTACTTATTTCACTCCATCACTAATCATGTGCTGAATTGGGTGTGCCAGGACACTGCTGAATAACTTGAGTTCACAAAGCAGCTTATGTGAACAGTATAAAACAAAGTTTAAAAATAATTTAATGAAGTTGTCACGAAGGAGTGAATGAGTGTTAAGTTTTCATGCTTTGTAGACTTCTGTAGCTAAGTGGGATTTTCCAGTGTTGACTTAGACTTATGCTAAAATTGGTAAGGCACGTTGGCTTTCTTACATTTCTGCTAATTGGAGTCCACAGAACTGTTTATAGAAATAGAAATATACTTTTGATCTTTGGTAGATGCATCAGATTGTCACTACTGCGACCACAGATGCCAGCTTGTTTCAAAACATTCAAGTTCCCAATACAGTTTAGATAATAAAAGCAGTATGAAGCTGAGACTTTGAGAGTTACTCAGTATTTTACATGATTAAAATGGACACTAAATTATGTAGATCTGTACATGCAGGGGGTCCAGTGTTACTCCAGGGATCTGTGAGTAGCCTGCTTATTTTCAGGTTCCCCAGTTGCTAACCTGTAAGGCAGTGGTCTCCAACCTTTTTACACCCAAGATCACTTTTTAAGTCTCAGAACAGGCAAAGATCTACCGCCCCGCCCCTTCCTTGAAGCCTCGCCCCTTCCTTGAAGCCCTGCCCTCTCTATTCTCCTGTCCATCACTTGCTATCCCCTGCCCTTATACAGTCTGTTAAACAGTTTATTTTTAAATTATGCAATATATAAAATTAAAATCACGTTTATAGTTATGAAATAAATGGTCTGTTTGTAATTCATGCTATTTAAATGTCAAATGAAGCATTTACAATTATACATTTTGTTCTCTGCTATTTTGTAAATCTGAAATCAAGTATTGAGAATTATATATTTTTTCTTCCAATAACAAAGTCTCAGCGTGACGCTTGTGACTGAACAGTATCTGCCAGTGTCTTGAAGTCTGGGTTGTAGTCTGCGATTGCTAGTCATATACAGTCCATCAGATGGGCATCTGTGATCCTGCGCTCAGCCTGGGAAGCTTGCTCCAGCACAGCTGGAGCTAGACGCAGCCTCCCTGCTTGTGGACGGCTGTGTGTTCGTATCAATATGGGTTAAGTCAAGGGCACTCTTTGGCAGCCTCTTGGTCAGCAATTGGCATATCTCTGTTTACAGTCATTCACGGTCACAGCAGCCTGGGCCTTCTGTTCTGTGTGCCCTGCATGCTCCAGGCAAGCAAAAATGGATGTTACAAGGGGGGTTCCTGTCTGGCTACAACAGCAAGCAGGAAGTTCCTGAGGGGACAGCTCCAAGACAAAGGGCAGAAGATGAGCAGCAGTGGGGGGAGGACCAGTTGAAGTGCCAGTCCTTGATAGCCTCTTGGTCAGACGAGTCAGGATCACCTTGCAGAGGCTCCAAGATCTACCAGTAGATTCCAATCTACTGGTTGGTGACCACAGCTGTAAGGTGAAAGGAGGGGATCTGACCTAGTGAAGTTGCCAGAGTTTACCAGGGATCTCACTATGCCTTTCGGGAAACTTCCCAGAACAGTCTAGATCTCTTCATCCCTCAGAGAACATGGATATAACTCTCCATTCACAGGATTAATAACCAGGCAGCACTTTTCCAGAATTAAGTATTTTCTTTATGTAGCAGTAAAAGATTTACCTGTAGCTCAAGTCCTTAACTCAGTGTTTGTTTTTTGGAAAACAAAATGAAAATGTACATACTTCATTTAAATAATTGCTCTGGGCTGGGGCTGGGGATGAGGGACTCGGTATGTAGGCTGCCCTGGTGAGAGAGGACTACCTCTGCCCTCTCTTACTACACCATCTTGGGGGTAGGTGAGAAGCAGCTGCCCATGGTTGCTTCAGCTCCAGTGGACACGGGTGGGAGAGGAGTGCCTCTCCCCTGGGTGGGGCAAGTCCAGGTTCGTCTTCCCCTTGTAATACCCAGAGTGAGGTATGCAGGAAACTTCATTTTCCCCTCTCTCCCTGATGAAGAGGAACATCCAGCAATATTCCTTTACAAATTGGGGATGGGTGGAGCTTTAAAGCTTCCTAAAGGGTGCCTTGTGGGTGTCTGGCTGGAGGATAGGACAGTCCTGGACCTAGATGTGTGTGCCCCCAGCCAGCTCCTTTCACATATCTGTGGAATCTCTCTCTTTTTTTCTATTATTTTATGAGAAGCAATCCCATTCCAGGCATATTCCATTTACCTGGCACAACCCAAATCTTATCTTGTTTTAAATTATAATAAGAGGAATACTGAATTTGGTGGTAGGCGCTCTTACCATTTAGGAGAAGTTCTTTAACAGACAGACACAGGGACAAATGCTCTAAAATATACAGTAGATAAACAACCTTTACTAATAAAAATAATCTAAACCTAAATTTAAACATAAGCCCCTTAGCACAAGTAGACTAGCTGAAGTACTCAAGACTATAATTGTCAAATAATTGAAATGGCTTACGTAATTATGTTCTGTACATGGTGAACAGCCATATACAAGACATTAACAGAAAGCTTAATAATTCCCAAACTTTATACATAAACAGTTGTGGAGACACTCACCTTTAGTATGATATGCTATGCTTCTTAAAGATCCTTTCTGCTGTGTCCCATCAACACCATTCTTGCTGTTCTTTTAGATTTCTTCTGATCTACTTTGATTTTCTTTTGTAATTACTTGACTAACTTTTTTGCTTGTTAACTCTCTGCCTTACATACAATTTTTTGGCCTGTTCTTATTGGCTTATTTTTGAATCCTAGTATTAGCACACCTGTCTTCCAATGATCTTTAGACTCTCTGGTCCATACTTACAGATTAATCATAACTGCTAAACATTGTGGGGAGGGGCAAGTATTCCCTCCAAGCAGCACAGCTTCACAGGTGATTGAATGGGCAGAGCTGATTAGTCATCTATATGCTTGGAGCCCTGAGCCTTTGACTAGGCAGAGCTGATGAATCACCTATGAAGCTGTACTGTTGCACAGCTTAGAGGGAACACTGCAGGTGATCCTCACATAGTTTTGGACTGACCTCTCCCTGTAGTTTTGGAGTGACCTTATCTAATCTCTGTAGAACAACAGATTGAATATATTTATACAATAGCCAGGAAAACTGAATTATCTTGGTTGTTAGAATTTATGTATTAAAGTTCCTTTTGTTTTTGTACACAGTAGGAGCTGAAAATGGCCAAGAAGCAATTGAAAGCGGAGCTGTTTTTCTTTTTAAGACCTTTCACATGAAGGAATGCGTTGGTCGTGATGAAACAAAGGCAATCAAACAGATGTTTGGGCCCTTTCCCTCATCCTCTGCTACTGCTGCCTGTAATGCCACATGTCGGATTGCTTCGTATTTCACTGAAGAACAGCTTACTTCTCTTATACAGATGGGTGAAGAGCAAAATGACGATAACAGAGTATTCTTTGGTAAAAATATAGTATTTTCATTTGACATGCATGACCTTGATCACTCTGAAGAACTGCCAATAAACGGGGATGCAACTGAACAGAGAACTATAAGCTTAGACTACAAGAAATTTCTGAATAACCATTTGGAACACTTCCAGAATTGTTATGATGACAACTCTGATCTTAAATCATTGGAAAAAGTGGATGATTCTTTTCTGTGGTGTGAGGTTGGGAAGTTTCTAAATGAATCACTAAAAGGAACCCCTGGAGAACCAACAACAGATGATCTCTGCTGTACTTTGTATGAGATGCTTGCATCTAGTAAAAGTGGTGATGAACTTCAGAATGAGGTACAGTAGATATATTAGTAATACTCTAGTAGTACAGGTTGAGCCTCTCCAGTCCGAAAGCCTCAGGTCCTGATTAGTGTCTAACTAGAGAATTTACCAAACTAGTGATCAACACAGTGTCAGTGAGTCTCCATAGGTGTGTATGTGTGGGAGGGTGGTACTGCAGCACCCGCAGACTTTCCACTCTAGGTTGGCCCAGTTGCCACCTGGGGTCCCAGCTGCCTACCACCTGCCCAGGGGGCCCGATACTGGCTACTGGTAGGCTTTTGCTGCTGCTTGGGGTCCCAGTCCCCCCCCAAGCGCTCTTCTCCACCTCCACCCCCAAGTATGCCTCATCCCTGTTCCTCCCCATCCCTTCCAGAGCTTGAATGCCGCAAACAGCTGACTCATAGTGCTCCCAAAACCCTGGGAGCGAGGGGTAGGATAGATGAGTGGGAGCCTGCTGGCATGCAAGAGGACAGCGAACTTGGTGACGGTGGGTGCTCTGCAATCTGTACCCACTAATTATTCCCCATGGGTGCTCCAACTCCTCAGCACCCATGGAGTCAGTGCTTATATGCCAGACTACAGATGTTGCCAGACCAGGAAGTATCAGACTAGAGAAATTCAACATTTACTTATTTAAATATGACACAAGATATCAAACTTTTCTTTTTTTACTCATTACAAGTTTGCAGGTCCCCCTCTCAAGCCTGTTCATGCCAAGTAAAGTTTCTTCGTGAACATAAAAGACAGTGACTATTCTGGTAACTTTTGAGACTTGTCATATTGCTAAAGCTGTAGTCACAGCTGTCATGGGGCTTTAGGTAATTTTAGTGGTATCAATGTTTTTGTGTTATCACAATATTTTAAGTCAAGATACATAAGTCTGTATAATGGTTTAAAATATTGTAGGGTACTGGGGCAGAGAGAAAGCATTGTATGACTGTTTGTGTCCCGATATAAGACATTATTTTGGTCACCTGTGTTGACTCTAGATGGAATATATAGGCAAATGGGATTAATGTAACACAGCCACTGTGCAATGTTTAACTGTGTTAAACAAAGTCCATGATTTGGTGTACAGATATCTCACCCTGCTTAGTACTATTACTAAACATTTTAACTGTTTATTAAAGATACAGAAAAGAAGGGGAAAAGTTAAAACATTTCAAAAGTAAAGTATTAAATAAGGCTTTTATTTTAGTAATAATGTGGGTTTGATTACTAGGATCTCCTGGAGACTGTGAGTTGATGTGCTGAATTACTTATATTGCCACATTTAAGATTGCTTTGTACTTCACCTTCTAGCCCTTATGGGTGCCCTCAACTCTGTCCTGCTGAGCCAGGCCCTCAGACCTCCTCTAGCAGTGGCCCATAAATAGGATCACAGTCCTCTCTGCATTATAATACAGATGCTGAGATCAGCTCACCTCTGGGAAGGCTCAGCCAAAGGGGGTTGGCAAAGCACCCAATTGCAGAGCCTCAGTGGGACCTGAACCAAGATAAATCTGTCTTACTCTGTATAAAGTTTTATACAAGGTAAGCTCATGTTTGCTCTCTTTCTCTGGCTAAAGAGAGAGTTGAAGAGATTTCTTTCCCAAGTAACAATTAGTTAAACTGGGTTTATTAATAAACAAAAGTGATTTCATTAAGCATAAAAGATAGGATTTAAGTGTTCATAAGGGATAACAGACAGAGCAGTATAGGTTACTAAACAAAATAGAACACACAAACTAAACTTAATAGACTAAGAAACTGGTTACATGTAATATGTCATCTTCAGAGTTATTCTGGGCTCAGTCCTTCCCTCTCCACTCTCTGTTCAATCTTTAGATGTTTCTAGTAGTCATGTTAGGCAGAGTAGTCAGTGAAAACCAATAACCAAAATTACCTCGTTCCCCCTCCTTTAAATAGGATTTGCATAAGGGTGAATTCTTTTGTGTAAAATTTTAAAATTCTTTTTTTACTTTTAAGTGGAAAAGTAGAGTATCCAAGATGGGTACCAGCATCAGGTGACACGGCCACATGTCTTGGTAGGACCAACCAAAGCCCCTTGTACTGGGCTTCCAGGAAAAACAAGTCTATTCACAGATCACTGTTCTTTGTTCTCAAGTTCCTTGAGTACTACTACTAAATCTCACTTAGCATGATTATATTAATAACACAAATTTATACTTCATATTTCTAATTTGAAATACAGGAATGATAAATGCATACAAATGGGATACACATAGTCATCAGATTATAACCTTTCAAATGATATGTCACATAAAGCATATTCCCACTATGTCATTCATATTCATAGGAATATTTTCATAAAGTCAATGGAATGCACCATCACAACATTCCTTATTTCTTTCTCTTTAGCTGGAGAAAATTTCTAGAAGGTATTGCTCCCCTCCCAATCTCTCAGTAAATGGTACCAAAGAAAACAATAACTCTTATTTTCCGCAGAAAAAAGAAATGATCTGAGAATGAGCAGGAGCTGTTCTTGTGGCTATTAAAGTCTGATCCTATTTTGTCCTATGTGGTGGCTGAAATTTTAGCTAGACTGGTAGCAGTGTTATTTGGCCTCTCTTTTTGATTTGGTCTGGTCAGGACATCTCAGGATTAGGATGACATAGGCCTGGGGTACTAAGATCCCTAATTAGGACAACGATGCTTTGAAATTTATTGCTAATTTTGGGTTGTGCTTTCCATACAGTTTTTTCATTGTAGTGATTGTGTCACTGATGCAAAATCTTACTACAACACTGGTGAGGGTGAAGCACTGACCCTGTCTATCAGTGAGGATAGCAGAATGCATAGCAGAGTTCAGCTATGCTACTAAGGTGTCAGACTGCTAATCCAGAGAGAGGACAGCTGTCCTCCTCTTTGAGGTTGGGTGTTAGCTAAGCTGCAGAGGTAAATGTATCACTGACAGCATAGCCAATGAGTCAATGAAGAAATGGCTAAAACATGAATAAAAGGGCCCCAATTTCTTATGAACTATTCAGTCCATTCCATGAAGGTGATGGGGCATTCAGTCATTGAGAGTCTATTAAGAATCTGAGGGGCCAGAAAAAAGACTGTCTTGTGCATCTATAGCAGGGCACTGACAAGAGATGAACTGATTAACCATCTGATGGAGGAGAAGATAGACAGTCTGTGACATCTCTGGTCTCTGTGAAACACAGTGAAGAAAGAGATGGAAGTGATGTGGATAGACAACAGGACTATCATGTTAAAAAAGGAGAAGGTGTGAGAATTTTTAGAGGGAATTGGCTTCATCAACAAAGAAGCGTCTTCAGAATTCATCTCCTTTGAGTTCAAGTCATCGCTCGTGGAGTGCTTCACTTCCCATTATACGACAAACAGCACCCTTGTGATTATTCAGATCCTTGCTCCCATAAGCACAAGTAAATATTACAAATTCTATCAGGAACTTGAGGAAACAATCACTTAAAAATCCACATATGTGATCACAATGGGAGACTTCAACACCAAAGTTGAAAGAAGGAAAAGAAAGTGAAAAGTTCATTGAAAGGTATGGCGTCAGCGAATGGAATCCGCGCGAGAAAGGCAGCTCTAGCAGAGACCAAAGAAATATTTATTGGTAATAACTGGTTTAAGGGTAATATCTGGTTTAAGGAGAAGGACAAACGGATGTGGACATGAATGACACCCAATGTGAAAGACTGATATTCTGACTGATAAACAGTGGATTGTACAAGATGTCTCAGTAGTACTATCATGTAACACCAGTAATGACGGTTGCTTGCTCAGATGATGGCTCAGCTTCCACAAAAAGATGGGTAAAAAAGCATTACAGATGGCAAATCGCAAATAGCAGCCAAAAATATTCAATGAGGGAATCTTGAAAATAAACATTTTCAAGAAAGATTGGCATCTTACAGATGCGGATCATAAAAACTTTACTAATAAGTTGAGGCAATGCATTAAATTAGCCAAGAAAGAAAGAGTGAAGAGACGAAACTTGGAGGAAATACAGAACTTGTAAGAGAAACAGAAGAATATGAAGTGAAATTATTCTGACAAACTTAAGTACAGTAAAATTCCAGTGGTCCAGCATCCAATGGTCCGGCACCATCTGGAACCTGGAAGTGCTCTGGGCATCCGGACAATTGGAGCTGCTCTGCCCCTGGCTTCTCTGAGAAAGCTGCTGGTCAGTTTCAGCAGCGGCTGACTTGGGGAAGTCTGCGGCAGAGCAGCTGTGGTGCTGCTGGGTTGGTCCCGCAGTGCCGAGGGGCGCATCTCCTACCCTCCACCCCGGACCCGTCATAGTCCCCCTTTCCGATAGTCCGGCATATTTGATAATCCGGCACCCCCTGGGTCCTAAAGGTACCGGATTATTGGAAGTTTACTGTACTCCCGTTTGTGCAAGTTGATATGATTAAAGGAGGACTTTGAGAAGTATTGGCATGACTCTTTAAAGATGGCTGAAGATATCAGAATCCTAATAAGATGCAAAAGGTAATTGTCACTGTACGAGTCAATAATAGTGGTGCTGAAGAACAGGGACCGAAAAATTACTAATTCACAGAGCAGACTGTCATGTATGCTTAGCAGCTCTTTAAAATTAATTCTATAGAAAAAACACAGATGGCTATGTTTAAGAAGAAGTAGCCTAACCAACACTACATGAATTCCTTTTACGTATTGCCTTCGTTGACTATGAAAAAAAGCATTCAATACCACAGAGATCAATGTAGGGTGGGTTGAAAACTCTTGCAGAACAGGATGTTGGCATCAAACTATTAAAGAAGCAAATTCTGACTCTGCTACATATTTTCCTTTGCATGCATGTTAAGAAAGGCTTTAAAACAAGAAGACATGGTTTCACTGAAATTCTTCACAACCTTCCTTGAAATGATGAAGCAGATGAATTGAAAGAGTGAAATTAACATCAGCAGAAAACAGTTAAATCATTTCAGCTTTATGGGTGATGTATTGTGGTGATCATTGAAAATAGGGATGTTAAAAGCAGGTAATTGGGTAACCATTTAATCGCTGAAAAT